ATCTCTTAATTGTGGATGGCCAAATTATCATCAATAGGTCCAGCAAAGATGATCATCTGTCCAATTCTGCCAGAATATTTCTTTGTAGAGGCCTCATTTGTGCCTTGGCCGAGCTGACAGTTGGAATTTTTTAGCAGTTAAAAGGCCCAACAACCTCATTGCTTCTCTAATGGTACTGACATTTTTTGTTTTGTACACTCATAGTGGACCAGAGGATTGTTTTCTTTTGTGCTGAAAGAAAAACTTTCATTTGAATAAAGTGTATGTTGTGACCCAAAAATGTAATAACTGATGGGACAAAAATCCAGATTTTTCTTGGTTTAAAAATCCAGCCATGTGAACTTAGGCAAACAGAGGCTGTTTTTTGTCTTATGACAAGCTGTTTTGGGGATGCCATGAGAGGCCAATCGTATAAATATGGGACTTTATGGAGACCGTTTCTTAATACAACCCTGATGACTACCAGAACTTTGGTCTATCCTCAGCCCCTCGGGTGTTTACCAATCGGAAGGGCCCTTAACTGATAATGTATTAATTCTTTGTATTTCATGCAGAACTTGGGGAACCTCTTGTTTCTTTCTACAGTTGGGAATATGTATATAGGCACAGTGGCGTACACATGACCCATGGGGCCCCGGTGCAAAAATTGATCCGTGGGCCCCCACCCACCCCCCGCGCTTACTCGGCACGGGTCGGGGCCGTAACACATGGCGGCAGGCACCTGGTCGCTGGGCTGCGAACCCCGCAACCGCGGTATGCTGCACACACACCTAAAGGACCACTACAGACACCCAGATCACATCAGCTCAATGAAGTGGTCTGGGTGCCAGGTCCCTCTAGTTTTAACCCTGCAGCTGAAAACATAGCTGTTTCAGAGAAACGGCTATGTTTCACTGAGGGTTAATCCCACCTCTGGTGGCTGTCTCATTGACCCTGAACGTCCATAGGAAAGCATTGAGTAATGCTTTCCTGTGGGAGGTTTAAATGGGCTCTTGCCGCGCATGTGCATTCGGAGCTGAGAGGCGGAGGGATCCCCAGCGCCAATGAAGTCTGGCGCTGGAGAAAGGTAAATGCTGAAGACACACACTCTCACGAACAGACGCATACACACTAGCTAACACACACACATTTACTGACAGAGACACACTCAGCGACAGACATACATACACACTCACTTACAAAACATACACTTTCACTGACAAACACACACTCACTAACAGACATCAGACACACTCAGTAACAGACACACCCAATAACAGACACACCAACACCCACACTAACACTTACACACACACACTAACACACACACACACACACTAACACACACACACACTAACACATGTTTTTTTTTAAATTTAATCCCCCCAGCCTCCTTACCTTTTGGAGTGCTGGGGGGATTCCCTGGGGTCCAGTGGTGGTGCTGCTGACCCCGGCGGGCGGGCAGGCAGGCTGTCTGGGTGGCCGGCGCGCGAGGGAGCACTCTCCCCTCAGTGCTTCCTCATCAGCTCCCTCGCGCGCCGCGCAGGGATGCCGGAGCCGGAAGATGACATCATCTTCCAGCTCCAGTATCAGAGCGGCGCGCGAGGGAGCTGAAGAGGAAGCACTGAGGGGAGAGTGCTCCCTCGCGCGCCGGCCACTCAGACAGCCTGCCCGCTGGCCCTGTGGGTACATACCGGGTCGCAGGGGCGGCCGGGCCCCCTGGTGGGCCGGGCCCGGTCGCAGCCGCGACCCCTGCGACCCGGTATGTACGCCACTGTATAGGCATCCTACAGATCTAATGAGCTTAAGCAAGCCTCTTCCTCAGTAATGTGTGTTGCTGATTGTATGGTCTCCATACAGATTTTTTTTCATGGGGATGAATTGATTTGACTTTTAGATCTAGAATGGGTGTGAACAACCCATCTGGATTTCAACTAGAAACAGTCTTGAGTAGGTTCCTAAAAAATATTCTGCAAAGTGGAATTTTTTTCTTTAAAAGACTTTGAATTTCTACAAACAGAGCGTAAGCAGCTTTGGGTGATTTGACTAAAGTGCATAGAAACTTTCTTGGAGGAAGGTTGTAGAATTCTAAAAGGTATCTTCTTTATATAATAGTGAGGACAGAGTTGTCTGTGGTGGTTTTCTCTCACCAGGAAATTGAGGCAAAAAGTTTTCCTCCTAGTGCTCTGGCGTCATAGCCCGCAATCTTTAGCTTTTCCAGCAAAATGTCCTTTTTAAATCTGTACTCAGATGGTTGTCTCTGATTTCTTCTTGTCTGCAAAATGAATCTCTATAAGAGGTCTTATTTCTATAGAAGAATGTTTTATTCCACATTTCCTTTTTCCGGTCTTCCAGCAAGGCCTTTTTCCCCATCTGCTTTAAAAGTTCATCCAGTTAATATCCATTCAGTCATCTCTGTTCAAAAGGTACAGTCAGGTCCATAAACATTGGGACATCGACACAATTCTAATCCTTTTGGCTCTATACACCACCACAATGGATTTGAAATGAAATGACCAAGATGTGCTTTAACTGCAGACTTTCAGCTTTAATTTGAGGGTATTTACATCCAAATCAGGTGAACGGTATAGGAATTATAACAGTTTGTATATGTGCCTCCCACTTTTCAAGGGACCAAAAGTAATGGGACAATTGGCTGCTCAGCTGTTCCATGGCCAGGTGTGTGTTATTCCCTCATTATCCCATTTACAAGGAGAAGATAAAAGGTCCAGAGTTCATTTCAAGTGTGCTATTTGCATTTGGAATCTGTTGCTGTCAACTCTCAATATTAGATCCAAAGAGCTGTCACTATCAGTGAAGCAAGCCATCATTAGGCTGAAAAAACAAAACAAACCCATCAGAGATGGCAAAAACATTAGGTGTGGCCAAATCAACTGTTTGGAACATCCTTAAAAAGACAGAACGCACCAGTGAGCTCAGCAACACCAAAAGACCTGAAAGACCACGGAAAACAACTGTGGTGGATGACCGAAGAATTCTTTCCCTGGTGAAGAAAACACCCTTCACAACAGTTGGCCAGATCAAGAACACTCTCCAGGAAGTAGGTGTATGTGTGTCAAAGTCAACAATCAAGAGAAGACTTCACCAGAGTGAATGCAGAGGGTTCACCACAAGATGTAAACCATTGGTGAGCCTCAAAAACAGGAAGGCCAGATTAGAGTTTGCCAAACAACATCTTAAAAAGCCTTCACAGTTCTGGAACAACATCCTATGGACAGATGAGACCAAGATCAACTTGTACCAGAGTGATGGGAAGAGAAGAGTATGCAGAAGGAAAGGAACTGCTCATGATCCAAAGCATACTACCTTATCAGTGAAGCATGGTGGTGGCAGTGTCATGGCATGGGCATGTATGGCTGCCAATGGAACTGGTTCTCTTGTATTTATTGATGATGTGACTGCTGACAGTAGGATGAATTCTGAAGTGTTTCAGGCAATATTATCTGCTCATATTCAGCCAAATGCTTCAGAACTCATTGGACGGCGCTTCACAGTGCAGATGGATAATGACCTGAAGCATACTGCAAAAGCAACCAAAGATTTTTTTTAAGGGAAAGAAGTGAAATGCTATGCAATGGCCAAGTCAATCGCCTGACCTGAATCCAATTGAGCATGCATTTCACTTGATGAAGACAAAACTGAAGGGAAAATGCCCCAAGAACAAGCAGGAACTGAAGACAGTTGCAGTAGAGGCCTGGCAGTGCATCACCAGAGATGAAACCCAGCGTCTGGTGATGTCTATGCGTTCCAGACTTCAGGCTGTAATTGACTGCAAACGATTTGCAACCATGTATTAAAAAGTGAAAGTTTAATTTATGACTGTTAATCTGTCCCATTACTTTTGGTCCCTTAAAAAGTGGAAGGCACATTTACAAACTGTTGTAATTCCTATACCGTTCACCTGATTTGGATGTAAATACTCTCAAATTAAAGCTGAAAGTGTGCAGTTAAAGCACATCTTGTTTGTTTCATTTCAAATCCATTGTGTTGGTGTATAGAGCCAAAAAGATTAGAATTGTGTTGATGTCCCAATATTTATGGACCTGACTGTAAGTCACACAGGGAATGTTTCAATGCAGAGTTAGCTGCCCAATTTGTGAGCTTGTCTGGCCACAAGGGAGAGGCCCATAGATTTGGATGATAGTTTAAGCGCCTCTGAAGTTCACTCAGAAAGGAAATCTGAACCCATTTGGATGTTCTGTAGAAGCTTAACAGGATCTTCCTTGGAGTCTACCATATAGACTTTTTAACATAGAAACATAGAAACATGTTTCTATGTTAAAAAGTCTATATGGTAGACTCCAAGGAAGATCCTGTTAAGCTTCTACAGAACATCCAAATGGGTTCAGATTTCCTTTCTGAGTGAACTTCAGAGGCGCTTAAACTATCATCCAAATGAATCTAACCAGAAATGTTGCTCCTTTGCTACAGACATTCCTTGAGTAAGAGGTTTACTCTAAGCTGCTTTTGTGGAGCAAGGTTAACGTAATGTTGATTCCTCTTTTTTGTCAATTGCATACTGCAGCCCACTGGAAACTCCTATAGGAAGTGTAGTTTTCTTCCCCAACTGTGCTATAAGTACATCCACTTTAGCAAGCTTCTCAAAATTTTTGTTCTCTAAGTTTTGAATAGCTTAGAAATAAAGTCTTTTTGTGATTGATATTTCATTCCCTCTGCATCAATTCTTTTAATTTAGGATGAAATGCAAATGATTTGAGTGTTTTATGCTTGACAAATTGAGGATATTTAGTTAAATCCTCATGTGATTAACTCAGTCCTAAAAGACTATGATCCACTAAGCTCCTACATCCAGGCCCTGTTCCCTAACCTACAAAACATTCTCAGAGAGCCGGAGTGTCCAAGCGCCATCAGCGGGACCAATCTAAACTCACTCTGGAACTCCGGCCTGGTTACTTACTCCTGTTTTTCCCGGTCATTTTGTACCCTCACTTTCTCCACTTTCCCTGCAACCCAGAAAAGCGCTTTTTGGAGGGAAACTTCTATCCCAAGGACTTAGCAATTGTTCCCTGAAGCTGCCAGGGAGCTCCAAATTTCCAAAGAGATATTTCGATATTTCGAGCCACGTAGAACACTTTTCGGCCAAGGTTGTTGTAGCGGTCATCTGAAACTTTAACTGTGTGGCATTTGGACCATTCTTCATGGATCCTTGCTCTATTTTTCCTGAATGGGTGCTCGGATCTGCCCTTTAAAATGATGTCTAACATGTGGGGATACCTTAATATATGTTTTGGGGGTATTTCTTTGTTGCACTCTCTGTTTCCAGGAGGTATTGTACCGTTCATCAAGTTTTGATTTGTTATAATCACTGCTTTACTAAGGGATCTGGGAGAATCAACAACGGAAGTACCACTCTGGGTACAGGCGCTCTGTTGCACCTTATCTTCCATAAGTTGTACTTCTCTGATAAGTCTATGCAGACTCTCATCTGGATAATAATTTTCTGTGCAAAGCCTTTAGAAGATGAACAAGTAGAGGAAGAGTCTGAACTAGAATCTGTCGTTTCCTAGAACTTCCTTTTCTTACTTCTAGAAGGAGAATAAAATACTGGTTCAGGAGGTAGAGCTGACTAGGATGATTGAATGGCAGCAGTTCTAAAATGCAAAAAGTATACACACAGTGCAGGAGAATATTATAATAATAAAAACCACCACTAGTGACTGTGTGGAGAGCTCAGTAATTTATGAACTTACCCCTATGGGTTAACACAATTTTGGACATATAAAGGAAGAAACGTATCACAGTACATATATCTGAAAGAATACAAATACAAATAGTGCAAATAACGTATGTAAGTGACCATGTATATAAATGATCTATACAGGGAGTGCAGAATTATTAGGCAAATTAGTATTTTGACCACATCATCCTCTTAATGCATGTTGTCTTACTCCAAGCTGTATAGGCTCGAAAGCCTACTACCAATTAAGCATATTAGGTGATGTGCATCTCTGTAATGAGAAGGGGTGTGGTCTAATGACATCAACACCCTATATCAGGTGTGCATAATTATTAGGCAACTTCCTTTCCTTTGGCAAAATGGGTCAAAAGAAGGACTTGACAGGCTCAGAAAAGTCAAAAATAGTGAGATATCTTGCAGAGGGATGCAGCACTCTTAAAATTGCAAAGCTTCTGAAGCGTGATCATCGAACAATCAAGCGTTTCATTCAAAATAGTCAACAGGGTCGCAAGAAGCGTGTGGAAAAACCAAGGCGCAAAATAACTGCCCATGAACTGAGAAAAGTCAAGCGTGCAGCTGCCACGATGCCACTTGCCACCAGTTTGGCCATATTTCAGAGCTGCAACATCACTGGAGTGCCCAAAGCACAAGGTGTGCAATACTCAGAGACATGGCCAAGGTAAGAAAGGCTGAAAGACGACCACCACTGAACAAGACACACAAGCTGAAACGTCAAGACTGGGCCAAGAAATATCTCAAGACTGATTTTTCTAAGGTTTTATGGACTGATGAAATGAGAGTGAGTCTTGATGGGCCAGATGGATGGGCCCGTGGCTGGATTGGTAAAGGGCAGAGAGCTCCAGTCCGACTCAGACGCCAGCAAGGTGGAGGTGGAGTACTGGTTTGGGCTGGTATCATCAAAGATGAGCTTGTGGGGCCTTTTAGGGTTGAGGATGGAGTCAAGCTCAACTCCCAGTCCTACTGCCAGTTCCTGGAAGACACCTTCTTCAAGCAGTGGTACAGGAAGAAGTCTGCATCCTTCAAGAAAAACATGATTTTCATGCAGGACAATGCTCCATCACACGCGTCCAAGTACTCCACAGCGTGGCTGGCAAGAAAGGGTATAAAAGAAGAAAATCTAATGACATGGCCTCCTTGTTCACCTGATCTGAACCCCATTGAGAACCTGTGGTCCATCATCAAATGTGAGATTTACAAGGAGGGAAAACAGTACACCTCTCTGAACAGTGTCTGGGAGGCTGTGGTTGCTGCTGCACGCAATGTTGATGGTGAACAGATCAAAACACTGACAGAATCCATGGATGGCAGGCTTTTGAGTGTCCTTGCAAAGAATGGTGGCTATATTGGTCACTGATTTGTTTTTGTTTTGTTTTTGAATGTCAGAAATGTATATTTGTGAATGTTGAGATGTTATATTGGTTTCACTGGTAATAATAAATAATTGAAATGGGTATATATTTGTTTTTGTTAAGTTGCCTAATAATTATGCACAGTAATAGTCACCTGCACACACAGATATCCCCCTAACATAGCTAAAACTAAAAACAAACTAAAAACTACTTCCAAAAATATTCAGCTTTGATATTAATGAGTTTTTTGGGTTCATTGAGAACATGGTTGTTGTTCAATAATAAAATTAATCCTCAAAAATACAACTTGCCTAATAATTCTGCACTCCCTGTATGGTCTCACTCACATGATCCAGAGCCCTATAGGATAGGCTCAGGTCTCAAAGGCTTGCGTGTGCTTTAGGTGACACAGTACCCAATCGATCCTTTTGTCAATCAGTGAGTCCTCATACATATAAAAGAGGAAAGGGAGGGAAACACAGGAAGCAGAGTGTCCCTAGTGTAATAAATTATATATGTGCATGAAGTGGTAGAAAAAATGGCTTCTCACCTGGTAAGGAGACCAAAACCTGGCTCCTGGTGCAGAGGTATATGTGCCTTTAAGGGGGCTACAACCCTTATTTTATCAGCAATGTAGAAGATGGCAGTGAACTATAATATTATTAAAACAAAATTTATTGGACATAAGTATAAAAACTTACAAATAAAAAGATAGACAATTTGTATATAAAATATAGTCTTCCAATCTTCTTGCTGAAACGCGTTTCACTGTGCTGTGACAGCTTTTTCAATCGGTGATTTCCTTGCTGCAGATGGTGGTTTAAATATCCCTCTCCTCTTCCTGTATGGATGTCCGGTTTCATCCTCCTCCAATTGGCTCTCATGATTGTCAGGGAGCGTCTCTCACAGTTGAATCAATTGCTGTGATTCCTGGTCCGATCACATGACGTCCCACGTGACCTGTAATGTCACGCGCCGCGTCATGAATGGGGCGTGTGTTCGGCTAGTCTATACAAGTCCCATAACGTCCATGTTGACATACGGCAAATGCCCTTTCATTACAAGATATCTAATTACCTATTTTGTTTTAAAGTGCTAAACAGGAAAACAAGAGAAGAGAGGAAAATGTATTACTAACTCTTCATTTTAAACAAACTCACTTATATTGATTTATACATTATTGTGGAGTGCAGTTCAAAATTATTGCATTGCAAATCCTCATATCTGGCAATCGAAGTGCAAGTGCATTTATTATAAATAAGTAAAGATAAGGATCCACCAGAAAAATGTGTAATAATCACAAACAGGTAATCAGTACTAATGCAAACCAAATTCAATAATGATTTAAGAGCAATAAAAAAATGAGTCATATTTAAAAAAAAAAAAATTAAATTATATAAAAGATAATGTATATAAGTTTTTTTTTTAATAAATTTCTTTATTAGAGGTATGTTGATTGCGGCAGTGTTACATTAGTTTTTCATAGTACAACAGGATCATGTAATATGCACAACATTCAATATCCAAAAACATTATTCAAACAAGTCAAGTTTTTTTTTTTTTTTTTTTTCCATCCTTCTATCTTATTTCCCCCTTTTCCCTTCATACATTCCTATACCCTAGTTCCCTATCTGAAAGAATGTTTTTGGTAGTCGCGAGATGTAGATAATATGGCTATTATGGTAGAATAAGAACAGTAACAGCGTATTAATACAATAAGCCTCCGGGTACCTAGTATAGGTGGGAGCTTGATTCGACATAAAGTATAAGTTAAGCGTTTGGAGACTAGAGTGTCCCTAGGACCATTACCTATGGCAAAGCTCGTGCGTTGTTAGGGTATCTCCATATCCCAACCATGTTGTCTAAAGCCCTGTCGCTAACTAGCGTGTGGTAAGTGTCGAGATTCTGAGTGGTGTGTGTGGTAACACCCGTGTGTGAAGATGTGAGGTGTGGGGCTATCGGCCGTTAATCATCGCTAACTATCCGCCTAAGCGCCGGACCACCTGGACACAGGGTGTCCCGGGGTACCGCGTCCAGGCTTACCGTGCAACGTGCATGGTCCGTGATCATCTACGAATGTACATCTTTCTTCCCTGACGTTCAATAGTATCATTGCATCGTCTGCTTGTCTACAGTTAGCACATTCGGCCCTGAATCCGGTCCCAGCGTGCAGGTAGACGGGGGAAAGAAGGGGTAGAAGTAAGGGATAGTGGTTAATCAAGTTACATGGGGGTGTTGGTCCCTCCAGCAAGGTCCGCACCGGCCCGCTCCCCAACAGAGGGCCCCGGCGCGTCTCTGTCCCCGCGGCAGCGGGAGATGTATAAGAACCACGGCGTCCACATCTCTGCGTGCCTAGTTCCTCGTCCCGTCAAAACAGCATGTGCTTCTTCTGCTCCTTGAATGTCTTCCACTCTGCTGATCCACTCTTTTTTGGTGGGAATTTCGGTTCGTTTCCAGTGGGCTGGGATGTTGGCCTTGGCAGCATTGAGCAGGTGACGTAGTATCGATTTCTTATATGAGGAAATGGATTGGGTCGAGATATGTAGTAGTGCCAGTTCCGCGGACCATTCTGGCTGTTCTCCCAGGATGAGTTCAACTGTTTCCCTAATCATTTCCCAGTAAGGGGTAATTGCTCTGCACTCCCACCAGATATGTAGTACAGTGCCGCGTGCTTCCTGACATCTCCAGCACTCTGGGGGGATCGAGGGGAATATACGGTGCAGTAAAGTCGGCGTTCTATACCATAATGAGAGCAATTTATAATTCACTTCTTGGTTAATGTATATAAGTTATATCTCTTACTATGTTAAAACCTTAAAATTAGAAATAATTCTAAATTAAAAAATGACATTGCTCAAAATCATCATTAAGACCATTTGGTTGCATAGTATTCAAATTAAAAATCCATCTCATCTCCCAATGTCCAGTTTTCTTAATAACATTTCCCCCCCTCCAATTGGGTAATATCTTCTGTATCGCATAAAATTCAAGATGAGCAGGGTCACTATTGTGCTTATTTTTAAAATGAAGGGAGACGCTATGTTTATCGAAGTCTTTCCTAATGTTCCTAATGTGATCTTGGATTCTAATATGTAGGCTCCTTTTAGTTCGTTCTACATATGCAAGTCCACAAGGACAGGTTAACAGATAAATCACCTTAGTGGATTGACATGTAAATAATTAATTTATCTTAAATTTAACTTTTTTGTTTTGAGGATGTGGAAATTCCTTTAGTAATCTTTTTTTGCTCTTTGAATTCCTGCACAGCAATGTCCACAACCATAAAACCCTTCTGCCTCATTAAAAAATTCTCTTTTGGACCTTTTTGGATGTATATGGA